TTCTGTAAGAAAATTATTCCAATGGTTACTTTAGAACAGAAAGACAGAAATTCAGGACATAAAGCCGCCTTAGTGGGAATTCACATCCGTCCGCCCTCCTCGGGAGCTGTGATGTGCCCTGGACAGTGGGGCTGGCACTGGGGTTCCTGGACCCTCAGGGGGGTGAGGGTGGGTCCAGGCACTGGGCTGCATTGGCAACTAGTACAGGGGGTCTTGGGGGACCTCCCCATCGCATCACGGGCATTCGTGAGTCTCAGACTGCGGTGACAGTGTGGGCAGCGAGGGGTGGGCTGGATGGGGGCTGACTGGGCCCCTGGAGCCCTCGTCTGTCCTGACCTCTGACACACCAGGGGCCCCACAGGGCTCAGGCCTACCGGTCACAGTGGTTGATCCCACCTGCCAGGTCTCACTGGACATGGAGAGGGTCTTCTCATCCCCACACAGCATGTGGGGAGGACCTCCGCACACTTCGCTTCCAGGAGGGACTGCTCCTTTTGTCTCCTCTGCCCAGGGCAGAGCCTGATGGTGGTTTCCATGAACATTGTACAGGAGTGCCGGGGGCTGTCTAGGCCTTGTGGGCAGCTCAGAGGCCTCTGGGAATGAGGTCTATTCAGTCTATCGCTGGCTTGCCCACCCACCTGCTCTTGACCGCCTTTGAGAAGCCCCCGTCTCCCAGACTGGGGATGATGCTCCCAGCCAGCAGTCGTCCCGGAAAATGTCCCTTCTGGATGTCTTGTGCATGATTTGACTCTTCCTGTCCCCCGACATTCTTTTTTTTTTTTTTTGAGGCGCAATCTCGGCTCACTGCAACCTCTGCCTCCTGGGTTCAAGTGATTTTCCTGCCTCAGCCTCCCAAGTAGGGATTACAAGTGTGTGTCACCACACCCAGCTAATTTTTGTATTTTTAGTAGAGATGGAGTTTCACCATGTTGGCCAGGCTGGTTTTGAACTCCTGACCTCAGGTGATCCACCCGCCTCAGCCTCCCACAGTGCTGAGATTACAGGAGTGAGCCAGTACCTGGCACTGGAACATCACCTCTTCCTATTGATGGAGCTCCCAGGTATTTAGAAGGCATTTTCACAGTGGTGGTGCAGTGTAATCCTCCCAAGCCCTCTCCTCTTCCCTCCTCTCCTCCCCTGAGTCAGGCAGTGGGGCACAGAGGAGAGCAAGAGGACTGAGGACACAGGAGGAAACCAAGGCCAGAAAAGGGGCAGTGATCAGCCAGGGGCAGAACTGGGGTGTTCAGTGCCTACTGAAGTGCCCTTACTACCCAGTAGAGGAGAACAAGGCAGCCCTCTGGCCTCCTGGACCTAATGCTATGGTGTCAGTTGCCCCCATTCCCCAGATCCTGCAGGCAAGGCTGGCCCTTCTATGCATTTGGAGATGTTTCATGGCCCCCCAGATGGGTGGGGATGTGACGGAGAGAGAGAAAGGGGCAGGGGTGACAACAGAAACAATTCCAGATCTGCTGCCCTGTTGAGATGTGGTTCTTTACCCAGCTCTGCCTGGGCCTCCCTGCGTGACCCTAGGAAGAGGAGCAACCTTTCTGGGCATTGGGGTCAGGGAATAGGGTGGATTCTGGCTCCCCAAGATTTGAAGTCACATGTTTCCAAGAAGCTGGCAGGAAACTGTCACCCCTAGAGGAAGGCTCCTTTGTGTTGGGTGAGGGGAAGGTGGGACAGGCAGCGGCTACCAGGGGCCAGCTCCTGGGGGTCTGTAGGTTCTCTGATAGGTTTCCTGGTGTTTTCCTTCAAATAACCACCCCCTGCCGTGGCTCTCGGGAACCAACAGACGTGGTCTCTCCATACTGATGAGGCTTCCTCCTGCCTTGTAAATATTTGATAAGATTTTTGAAAAATGGAGGCTGTGTTTGAAAGGCAGTACCAGAAATGTGTTGCTTCTTTTTATGTTGGCTGATGGAGCCGGGGCTCCAGGGAGGACTCTAAGTGGGATCCAAGCTGCTGAGTCCTTCCCAGTAGCACCCTACCCACTCTCCCTGCCTACCTGGTTCAGCCAGTGGGGCTCTGAACGTGTGCAGGACCACGGCACCAGAAAGTTCCAGCTATGAGCTCAGCCCGTGAGAACTGGGGCAGCCTTGGGGGCTGCCAGTGAGGTGCTGTCAGCTGTTCTTCACCAGGAACCGCGGTAGGAAAGCATTTTACTCTGTGACTCAGTCCATGTGGATGTGGGTGGCTATTTAAATAGAAATGTATTTAACCGAAGTATCCCTTCCCTGGCTTGATGGACTCTTGAATCTTGGGGAGCTGAGGTTTTCTATTCTTTTTTAAAATGCTGTGACCATTCATCAAAATGCAATTTGAAAGACCCTACTGTAAGCCAAAGGTTTCCATTCAGGTTCCGTGGGCGATCTCCATGATAATCATGGTGATAGCAATCATGATGGTAGTGGTGGTGTAGGAGGTGATGGTGGTGATATTGATAACATTGGTGGATGATGGTGATGGTGACGGTAATACTGAGATGGTGGTGATGGGGGTGATGATGGTGATGTTGATGTTGATAATGGTAGAGGTGATGATGGTGATGGCGATGGAGATGATGGTGGTGATAGTGATAGAGGTGGTGGTGATGGGGGAGGTGGTGGTGGTAATGGAGATGGTGGTGGTGGTGATGGGAGAGGTGGTGGTGATGGAGGTGGTGGTGATGGGGGAGGTGGTTGCGGTGATGGGGGAGGTGGTGGCGGTGATGGAGGTGGTGATGATGGAGATGGTGGTGGTGATGGAGGTGGTAGTGATGGAGATGGTGGTGGTGATGGAGGTGGTGGCGGTGATGGAGGTGGTGGCGGTGTTGGAGATGGTGGCAGTGATGGGAGAGGTGGTGGTGATGAAGGTGGTGGTGATGGGGGAGGTGGTGGTGATGGAGGTGGTTGTGATGGGGGAGGTGGTGGTGATGAAGGTGGTGGTGATGGGGGAGGTGGTGGTGATGGAGGTGGTGGTGATGGAGGTGGTGGTGATGGAGATGGTGGTGGTGATGGAGGTGGTGGCAGTGATGGAGGTGGTGGTGGTGTTGGAGATGGTGGCAGTGATGGGAGAGGTGGTGGTGATGAAGGTGGTGGTGATGGGGGAGGTGGTGGTGATGGAGGTGGTGGTGATGGAGGTGGGGGTGATGGAGATGGTGGTGGTGATGGAGGTGGTGGCAGTGATGGAGGTGTGGTGGTGTTGGAGATGGTGGCAGTGATGGGAGAGGTGGTGGTGATGAAGGTGGTGGTGATGGGGGAGGTGGTGGTGATGGAGGTGGTGGTGATGGAGGTGGTGGTGATGGAGATGGTGGTGGTGATGGAGGTGGTGGCAGTGATGGAGGTGTGGTGGTGTTGGAGATGGTGGCAGTGATGGGAGAGGTGGTGGTGATGAAGGTGGTGGTGATGGGGGAGGTGGTGGTGATGGAGGTGGTTGTGATGGAGGTGGTGGTGATGGAGGTGGTGGTGATGGAGGTGGTGGTGATGGGGGAGGTGGTGGTGATGAAGGTGGTGGTGGTGATGGTGGTGGCGGTGATGGGGGTGGTGGCGGTGATGGAGGTGGTGATGATGGAGATGGTGTGGTGATAAAGGTGGTGGTGATGGAGGTGGTAGTGATGGAGATGGTGGTGGTGATGGAGGTGGTAGTGATGGAGATGGTGGTGGTGATGGAGGTGGTGGCGGTGATGGAGGTGGTGGCAGTGATGGAGGTGGTGGCAGTGTTGGAGATGGTGGCAGTGATGGGAGAGGTGGTGGTGATGAAGGTGGTGGTGATGGGGGAGGTGGTGGTGATGGAGGTGGTGGTGATGGAGGTGGTGGTGATGGAGATGGTGGTGGTGATGGAGGTGGTGGCAGTGATGGAGGTGGTGGTGGTGTTGGAGATGGTGGCAGTGATGGGAGAGGTGGTGGTGATGAAGGTGGTGGTGATGGGGGAGGTGGTGGTGATGGAGGTGGTTGTGATGGAGGTGGTGGTGATGGAGGTGGTGGTGATGGAGATGGTGGTGGTGATGGAGGTGGTGGTGGTGATGGGGGAGGTGGTGGTGATGAAGGTGGTGGTGGTGATGGTGGTGGCGGTGATGGGGGTGGTGGCGGTGATGGGGGTGGCGATGGTGGGGGAGGAGTTGCTAGTAATGGAGGTGGTGGTGATGGGGGTGGTGGTGGTGATGGAGGTGGTGGTGGTGATACAGGTTATGGTGGTGATGGGGTGGTGGTGGTGATGGGGGTGGTGGTGGTGGTGATGGGGGTGGTGATGGTGGGGGAGGAGTTGCTAGTAATGGTGATGGTGGAAGTGCTGGTGATGGTGGAGGTGGTGGTGATGGAGGTAGTGGTGGAAGTGATGCTGGTTACTTCGTCAACATAAAGGGGCTGATCTTGTGGAATTATATGTGGGTGAAACCTAAGGGATGATTCTGGTGCTTTTGTTGCAAATAACTGAAAATCCAGTTCAGTTATGGCTTTGTTATGGCCCATATAATTGGGAGGTGCTGAGGTAGGTGGGTGTCTGGTTCAGTTTGATCCAGCTGTTTCTTGGGAGGTGGCAGTGATGGGGGTGTTTATAAACAGAAGCTCACTGTTTATACACAGGGATGACAGCATTCACTTTTCTTCTCCTTGAAAGAATCTGAGACTCCTTGCAAATGGAAGAATCTAGGTGATGTGTTCATTGAACTGACTAGGGGGAACATCTAGCACCTATGGGTCCAGATCTTGGTTAGGGAACAGGTTACCAGGCTGGGATTGGGTTTAATGGTCTAGGTCCACCTGGCTCCACCCTCCCAAATGGGGATGGGTTCAACCCTACCTGGACTCCCTGGGCAGAGCTTCCAGTATAAGCAAGAATGAGCAGCCCACACCTGGAATCTGCTCTTTTGATTGGGGGTCCACACACCCCACCTGGGTCTTCCCTGAGTCTCCAGGTAGTGAGCTGGTCCTGAGAGCTGCCTGGCCTGTGGGGAGCTCCCCTTTCCCTGTGACCGCCCCGCACCCTTGCCCGCCTGCCCTCAACCGCCTGCTCTTCTTCTCTAGGCAGCCCTGGTTCTACGGCTGGGGCTTCAACCTCCCACGAGGCCAGGCCCTGCTGGAGAAATGGAACCTCATTCCCGAAGGCGTAGACATCCTGATAACCCACGGACCGCCACTGGGTAAGGCTCTGCTGGCCCAGCCCCCCAGCTTGCCCACCTGGGCCTAGGGGCTGGGCTCTGCGGCAGGGTGCTGGCTGGACCTGGCCTGTCTAGGGGAACTTTGGAGGGGTTCTGAGTACCACTTGCTGGGGCAGTGGGGACACATTGCCCCATGGTCTCTCTTATTTCCTGAGTGCCCACTGAGTGCTGGGGGCTTGACTTGTTACCTCGTGGGCTCCTCACAATAGAATGAGAGGTCAGAAAACCCTCCCTGTGGCTTCAGCTTGTGCTTTTGTTGACCTGAGTCCAAGGTGCTGAAAATCACCAGGCACCTACACAGGGCTTCTTCCGGGCAACCCTCACTCCTCAGAAACCTGGGGTCCCCGCTCCCTCACCCCCACCCAGCCCAACATCTCCAGGGCCTGTAAACCACCTCCCATCTCTCCTCTCTGCCCCCAGTGCACCACCCGATCCACACTGAGGCCATCGCTCACCTGCATACCACCTCCCCCACCCCCACTGTCCCATCTGGGGCTTCCTCAGTTCCCTTCGTTTCCTCATTCCCACACCCTGGCCATCACCACATCCCTCCCATTCCACCTCCAAACTGTCTCCCACTCCTCCTTCTCTCCATACTGCTGAGCCTATCTCCGGCCAGGACAATGGCTTCTCTCTCTCTCCCATAGTCATGGTGGAGATGGTAGTGATAGAGGTGGTGATAGTGGAGGTGGTGGTGATGGAGGTGATGGTGGGAGGTGGAGGTGGAGGTGGAAGTGGTGGTGCTGGTGATGCTGGTGATGGAGGTGAAGTTGGAGGTGGTGGTGATGGAGGTGGTGCAGGGAGGTGGAGGTGATGGTGGGAGGTGGAGGTGGGTGGTGGTGGTGATGGAGTTGGTGGTTGTGGTGATGGAGGTGGTGGTGATGGTGGTGGTGGTGGATGTGGAGGTGGTGTTGGTGGTGATGGAGGTGGTGGTGATGGAGATGGTAATGGTGGTGATGGAGATAATGATGGTGGTGATGGAGGTGGTGGTGGTGGTGATGGGGATTGTGGTGGTGGATGTGGAGGTGGTGTTGATGATGGAGGTGGTGGTGATGGAGATGGTGATGGTGATGATAGAGATAATGATGGTGGTGATGGAGGTGGTGGGGGTGGGGGTGGAGTTGGTGGTGGTGGTGATGGACGTGGTGGTAGTGGTGATAGAAGTGAAGATGGTGATGGAGGTGGTGGTGATGGAGATGGTGATGGTGGTGATGGAGATGGTGATGGTCGTGATGGAGGTGGTTATGATGGAGATGGTGGTAGGAGGTGGAGATAGATGGTGTGGTGGTGATGGAGGTGGTGGTGGTGATGGAGGTGGAGGTGGTGGTGGAGGTGATGGTGGGAGGTAGAGGTCGTGGTGGTGATGGAGATGGGGTGGTGGTGATAGAGGCAGTTGTGGATGTGGAGGTGGAGGTGGTGATGGAGGTGATGGTGATGGGGATGGTGGTGGTGGTGCTGGAGGTGAGGTGGAGGTGTTGGTAGAGGTGGTGGCAGTGGTGTAGGTTGTGGTGGTGGTGATGGAGGTGGTGGAGGTGGAGGTGGTGGTGGAGGTGCTGGTGGTGGTGGGAGATGGTAGCGGTGATGGAGGTGGTGATGGTGGTGGTGGTGATGGAGTTGGAGTTGGAGGTGGAGGTGTTGGTGTTGGTGGTGGTGGAGATGGAGGTGAGGTGGAGGTGTTGGTAGAGGTGGTGGCAATGGTGTAGGTGGTGGTGGTGGGAGATGGTAGTGGTGATGGAGATGGTGGTGGTGGTGATGGGAGGTAGTGGTAGTGATGGAGGTGGTGGAGGTGCTGGTGGTGGTGGGAGATGGTAGTGGTGATGGAGGTGGTGGTGGTGGTGGTGATGGAGTTGGAGATGGAGGTGGAGGTGGAGGTGGTGGTGATGGAGGTGGTGATTGTGGTGGTGGTGGTGGTGATGGTGGTGATGGAGTTGGAGATGGAGGTGGAGGTGTTTGTGTTGTTGTTGTTGGAGATAGAGGTGGTAGTGGTGATGGAGGTGGTGGTGGTGGTGGTGGTGGTGGTGATGGTGGTGGGAGATGGTAGTGGTGATGGAGGTGGAGGTGGTGGTCGTGGTGTTGGTGGTGGTGGAGATGGAGGTGGTAGTGGTGATGGAGGTGGTGGTAGTGGTGGTGGGAGGTAGTGGTAGTGATGGAGGTGGTGGAGGTGGTGGTGGAGGTGCTGGTGGTGGTGAGAGATGGTAGTGGTGATGGAGGTAGAGGTGTTGGTGTTGGTGGTGGTGGTGGTGGAGATGGAGGTGGTGGTGAAGATGGAGGTGGTAGTGGTGATGGAGTTGGAGGTGGTGATGGTGGTGGTGGGAGGTAGTGATAGTGATGGAGGTGGTGATGGTGGCGGTGGGAGGTAGCAGTATTGATGGAGGCGGTGGTGGGAGGTAGTGGTAGTGATGGAGGTGGTGGAGGTAATGGAGGTAGTGGTAGTGATGGAGGTGGTGGTGGTGGGAGGTAGTGGTAGTGATGGAGGTGGTGGTGGTGGGAGGTAGTGGTAGTAATGGAGGTGGTGGAGGTGATGGAGGTAGTGGTAGTAATGAAGGTGGTGGAGGTGATGGAGGTAGTGGTAGCGATGGAGGTGGTGGTGATGGAGGTCGTGGAGGTGATGGAGGTAGTGGTAGTGATGGAGGTGGTGGAGGTGTTGGAGGTAGTGGTAGTGATGGAGGTGGTGCTGGTGGTGGGAGGTAGTGGTAGTGATGGAGGTGGTGGAGGTGATGGAGGTAGTGGTAGTAATGGAGGTGGTGGAGGTGTTGGAGGTAGTGATAGTGATGGAGGTGGTGGAGGTGATGGAGGTAGTGGTAGTGATGGAGGTGGTGGTGGTGGTGGGAGGTAGTGGTAGTGATGGAGGTGGTGATGGTGGTGGGAGGTAGTGGTAGTGATGGAGGTGGTGGAGGTGGTGGAGGTGATGGAGGTAGTGGTAGTGATGGAGGTGGTGGTGGTGGTGGGAGGTAGTGGTAGTGATGGAGGTGGTGGAGGTGATGGAGGTGGTGGTGGTGGGAGGTAGTGGTAGTGATGGAGGTGGTGGAGGTGATGGAGGTCGTGGAGGTGATGGAGGTAGTGGTAGTGATGGAGGTGATGGAGGTGTTGGAGGTAGTGGTAGTGATGGAGGTGGTGGAGGTGATGGAGGTAGTGGTAGTGATGGAGGTGCTGGAGGTGGTGGAGGTGATGGAGGTAGTGGTAGTGATGGAGGTGGTGGAGGTGATGGAGGTAGTGGTAGTGATGGAGGTCGTGGAGGTGATGGAGGTAGTGGTAGTGATGGAGGTGGTGGAGGTGATGGAGGTGGTGGAGGTGATGGAGGTAGTGGTAGTGATGGAGGTGGTGGAGGTGGTGGAGGTGATGGAGGTAGTGGTAGTGATGGAGGTGGTGGTGGTGGGAGGTAGTGGTAGTGATGGAGGTGGTGGAGGTGATGGAGGTGGTGGTGGTGGGAGGTAGTGGTAGTGATGGAGGTGGTGGAGGTGATGGAGGTCGTGGAGGTGATGGAGGTAGTGGTAGTGATGGAGGTGATGGAGGTAGTGGTAGTGATGGAGGTGGTGGTGGTGGTGGGAGGTAGTGGTAGTGATGGAGGTGGTGGAGGTGATGGAGGTAGTGGTAGTGATGGAGGTGCTGGAGGTGGTGGAGGTGATGGAGGTAGTGGTAGTGATGGAGGTGGTGGAGGTGATGGAGGTAGTGGTAGTGATGGAGGTGGTGGAGGTGATGGAGGTAGTGGTAGTGATGGAGGTGGTGGAGGTGATGGAGGTGGTGGAGGTGATGGAGGTAGTGGTAGTGATGGAGGTGGTGGAGGTGATGGAGGTAGTGGTAGTGATGGAGGTGGTGGAGGTGATGGAGGTAGTGGTAGTGATGGAGGTGGTGGAGGTGATGGAGGTGGTGGAGGTGATGGAGGTAGTGGTAGTGATGGAGGTGGTGGAGGTGATGGAGGTAGTGGTAGTGATGGAGGTGGTGGAGGTGATGGAGGTAGTGGTAGTGATGGAGGTGGTGGAGGTGATGGAGGTGGTGGAGGTGATGGAGGTAGTGGTAGTGATGGAGGTGGTGGAGGTGATGGAGGTAGTGGTGGTGATGGAGGTAGTGGAGGTGATGGAGGTAGTGGTAGTGATGGAGGTGGTGGAGGTGATGGAGGTCGTGGAGGTGATGGAGGTGGTGGTAGTGATGGAGGTGGTGGAGGTGATGGAGGTGGTGGTAGTGTTGGAGGTGGTGGAGGTGTTGGAGGTGGTGGTAGTGATGGAGGTGGTGGAGGTGATGGAGGTGGTGGAGGTGATGGAGGTAATGGTAGTGATGGAGGTGGTGGAGGTGATGGAGGTAGTGGTGGTGATGGAGGTAGTGGTAGTGATGGAGGTCGTGGAGGTGATGGAGGTAGTGGTAGTGATGGAGGTGGTGGAGGTGATGGAGGTCGTGGAGGTGATGGAGGTGGTGGTAGTGATGGAGGTGGTGGAGGTGATGGAGGTAGTGGTAGTGATGGAGGTCGTGGAGGTGTTGGAGGTAGTGGTAGTGATGGAGGTGGTGGAGGTGATGGAGGTAGTGGTAGTGATGGAGGTCGTGGAGGTGATGGAGGTGGTGGTAGTGATGGTGGGAGGTAGTGGTAGTGATGCAGGTGGTGGAGGTGAAGGTCTTGCCCCTTCAGTCCACTCGCTTCCCATCAGCAGGAGGGAGTTCTCTTTATTCTTATATGTGCCATGACACCCCTCTAGAGGGAACATCTGGCACTGATGGGTCCAGGTCTTGGTTAGGGAGCTGTCTGTACCCTCTGTGACTCCCTTAGTCCTCTGAATGAAGTTCAGTCTCCCGGCAGTTCAGCCCACATCAGCATCTTGCTCCCACTGCTGCCTCTGGAAACCCAGCATCACTCCCTGAGTGCTTGGGGCCAGCCTCTGGTCTGGGCGACACTGGTCCAGGAGTTAACCCTTGAAGTGTGTGCCTGGGTTAGGGGGGCCCCCAGGCTGCAGGAACAGCCAAGCCCAGTGGGACACATTCAGGGGTGAAGGAAGCTTGAGGAGTCAGCAGAGATGACTGCCATTATGCTGCCTGCAGGGCTTACACAAGCTGTGACCCCAGAATTGGGTCTGGGGAGGTAGAGAAGGCGAGGGGAAGGGTGTCCCAGGCAGAGGCCATGGGGGAGGCTGTAGGGTGAGGCGTAGGACAGCTTGAGTGTCATTGGCTCACATACCAGTTCAGGAAGAAACTCCCGACACCACTTTGTGCCCCCTACCCAGCCAGTGCCCTGCGCCCCTGCCTCCTCCCAAAGTCCAGGAACGGAAGGTTTTGTCAGCCTCAGCATCACAGGTGGCCCCGGCATGATTTAGGTGCACAACAAGCTTGTAGCTGGATTTGTGTCACCCCCACCTGAGTCCTGGGAGGTTCCCAGCACATTCAGTGTCATTGGTCACTGACAGTGAGCTCAGCAGCAGAGGTGTCTTGTTCTCTTCCCTTTCTTTTCTTTCCCTCGCTCCCTTTCTCCCTCCTTTTCTTAACTCTTTTTTTCCTCCTTTTTTCTTCTCCCCTCTTCGTTCTTTCCTCCCCTCCTCCCTCTTGCTTCTTTCTCTCCCTCCCTCCTTTTCATCCATCCATCTCTCCAAACATGTCTTTTGGCTTCCTGCTCTCTGGACGCCCCACCCGGGCCCCTTCACACATGGCCCGGCTCCTGTCTCGGGGCTACCCATGTGCCAGGCACTCCAGCTGGTGCTGCCCTTGCGTCGTCTCCAGATTGTGCACGCCAGGGCGCCGGGGTGCCGGAGAGCCTCCCCGCAACACACACTCCAGAACTGACAAAGGGTCTGGCCTCATTCATGGTGGGATCCCAGTGCCCAGCCCATCGCTCTGTTGGATGAAATAGAGGCACAGAGAGGTTAAGTGACTTATCCAAGGTCACACAGCCAGCAGGCTGCAGAGCCTGGGACTTCACTGCGGTGTCAGCCCTAGGCCCATGCCCCACCCATTCCCCCCTTTCCACCTCTCTTCTCTGCTTTCCCCTCCTCCTCCGCCTCCTGCTCCTCCCTCATCTTTGTCTGTCTCTGGCTCTTCCCTTTAGGCCTGTTGCAGCTCACCTGGGCCTTTGCGTGGAAGCTTCCCCTGTCCCCTTCCTGGCAGTTGCAGAAACCCGTTTTGCCCACCCAAACAGAGAGGGGCTGCAATGAACCCTAACTGTTTGCACGGAGTAATCAATTATTCTCCGTTTGTGTAGCCATGTGAGGATAATAAGCAGCCGCCATCTGGGCGGCTCCAGGAGGCTGGCAGCAGGGGCAGGCGCAGGCGCAGCCATGGGAGCGATGCTGCAGCAGGGAGGAAGTTTCTTCTCATGAGTCTGTGCTGTTTAGGAAGTTTCCGACATGGAAATCTCACTCCTGGGCTATGTGTCAGGTCATCCCGCTCTGCCACTGACCATGGGTGTGCCTGACCGTGGGACTCACCCATCCCTATCTGGCCTCCATTTGCTGACCTCTGCAGTGGGTGGATGCCACCTTCGAGGCCACATGAGGCACAGATGGTCTGGGAGCGCTAGCAGTTACTGAGCACCCCGCACCAAGTGCCTGGCCTGTGCTAAGCTCTTTCAAGGAGGCTGTCAGTGCAGCCCTATGGAGGAGGAGGGTGAGGCTGCGAGGTCCTGCATGGTGTCCATCCCTGAAGGCTGAGGCAGGGCAGGGATCCCGAGAGCTTGCTCGGGGAGAGTGGTGCAAAGCTGGAGTCTGGGAGCCCCATGCCTCTTCCAGGCTGCAGAAGCTGCTGCAGGGCAGGGGATGGTGAGGGGCTGGGACAGACCTCATCATGGCCTACTATTGTCTCCCCCATACCAGGCTTCCTGGACTGGGTCCCCAAGAAGATGCAGCGGGTGGGCTGCGTGGAGCTGCTCAACACGGTGCAGAGGCGCGTCCAGCCGCGGCTACACGTCTTTGGCCACATCCACGAAGGTCAGCACGTGGTGGGGAAGAGGACCTTACAGGTTGGCGGCTCCTAATGGACCCTTCAGAGGAATCTTCCCTCCCCTCAGCCAGAAGGGAAATAATTAGCCCATTCCTACTGTTCATTTTGTAACTGCTAGCTGCCATACACACCCTGTCTGTCAATGAGGTATTGTTAAATTTTTAATAGTAGGAAGATCACAAAATCCTGTATAACTTAGAGGGTAAATTTTGCTTCTGGGGAGCCCTGCAAGTCTGCTGTGCCTCCAGCCTGGGAAGCCATTGGGAGATGGGCAGGGGTTTTCAGAGGAGGGGGTGGTTGAGCCACAACACGGAGGATGCATTATATTTGGTGGGCACACTATGAATCCCTTAAAACCGGTGGCCCTGTCTTGTTGCTTCTATCCCCGGGGCCTGGCGTACAGTAGGTGCTTAATAAGTGTGGAGGTGAGAGTGATGCCAGCTCCAGTTCTGTTGTCCACATGGCCACACCCTGGCCTGTTGCTCCGTGCAGGTGTTCACTAGTAGACCTCAGCCATCCTCACCTCAGCCTCGTTTCAGCAGTTAGGCACAGATGCCTCTTTTTTGCTTCATTTGGATATTTATCCCACCTGCCCAAGGTGCCTCTGTCACATCCCTGCCAGGAAGCATAGTGGCTTCTGTGGGATGTCTGGACTGATGTGGTTTCCCTCAGAGGCATCTCCTAGCTTCCTGAACCTCTGTCTGGTTGGACCAGGGACCCCAGGCCTCCACCTTGTCTGGTCCACATCAGATCATTTTCCAGCTCAAAAGCATGCAAGCCTCAAATCATTGGTTCCCTGAGGGCCTCTGTAGTTAATTGTCAAGGGGCAGCAGTTATCAGACCCCACCTGGCCCTGGAGTAGTTCCTGTAGGAGCCCTGGGAAGCAGATGAGTCATCGAAGTAGGATCTGAGAGGTCCTGGGAGAGGTGGGCAACTCACATGCTGTGTGATAATAAAGACTGTCATTTTCTGTGGCCCTACTATGGGCATGCAGCTCCATCAGATCCAAAGTTGCCTGTGAACAAAACCACACCACTGCACAATTGGACAGGTAAAATGGGACTCCAAAGAATAGGTCATCACGCATGCACTGATCACTCCCTTCCTTCTCCACCACCACACAGGGAAGGGGAAATGTTCCTTCTATCTTGGAGATGACCTGAGCTAAAGAATGAGGGGGATTCTAACAAATAGAGGTGGTGGGAAGAGAGTATGATGGAGGCAGAAAAAGTACATGACAATGATGATAATGATAGTGATGATGGAGATGAGGATGGTGTGATAGTAGTAATGGTGATGGTGGTGGTGATAATGATAGATGATGGCCCTGATCACAGTGGTGTTGGTAGTGATGATGGTGATGAGGATGGTGTGATAGTAGTAATGGTGATGGTGGTGGTGATAATGATAGATGATGGCCATGATCACAGCGGTGGTGGTAGTGATGATGGTGATGAGGATGGTGTGATAGTAGTAATGATGATGGTGGTGGTGATAATGATAGATGATGGCCATGATCACAGCGGTGATGGTAGTGATGATGGTGATGAGGATGGTGTGATAGTAGTAATGGTGATGGTGGTGGTGATAATGATAGATGATGGCCCTGATCACAGCATTGTTGGGAGTGATGATGGTGATGAGGATGGTGTGATAGTAGTAATGGTGATGGTGGTGGTGATAATGATAGATGATGGCCATGATCACAGTGGTGTTGGGAGTGATGATGGAGATGAGGATGGTGTGATAGTAGTAATGGTGATGGTGGTGGTGATAATGATAGATGATGGCCCTGATCACAGCATTGTTGGGAGTGATGATGGTGATGAGGATGGTGTGATAGTAGTAATGGTGATGGTGGTGGCGATAATGATAGATGATGGCCATGATCACAGCAGTGTTGGGAGTGATGATGGTGATGAGGATGGTGTGATAGTAGTAATGGTGATGGTGGTGGTGATAATGATAGATGATGGCCATGACCACAGCATTGTTGGTAGTGATGATGGAGATGAGGATGGTGTGATAGTAGTAATGGTGATGGTGATGGTGATAATGATAGATGATGGCCATGACCACAGCATTGTTGGTAGTGATGATGGTGATGAGGATGGTGTGATAGTAGTAATGGTGATGGTGGTGGTGATAATGATAGATGATGGCCCTGATCACAGTGGTGTTGGTAGTGATGATGGAGATGAGGATGGTGTGATAGTAGTAATGGTGATGGTGGTGGTGATAATGATAGATGATGGCCATGATCACAGTGGTGTTGGTAGTGATGATGGTGATGAGGATGGTGTGATAGTAGTAATGGTGATGGTGGTGGTGATAATGATAGATGATGGCCATGATCACAGTGGTGTTGGGAGTGATGATGGTGATGAGGATGGTGTGATAGTAGTAATGGTGATGGTGGTGGTGATAATGATAGATGATGGCCCTGATCACAGTGGTGTTGGGAGTGATGATGTTGATGAGGATGGTGTGATAGTAGTAATGGTGATGGTGGTGGTGATAATGATAGATGATGGCCCTGATCACAGTGGTGTTGGGAGTGATGATGGTGATGAGGATGGTGTGATAGTAGTAATGGTGATGGTGGTGGTGATAATGATAGATGATGGCCATGATCACGGCAGTGTAGGTAGTGATGATGGTGATGAGGATGGTGTGATAGTAGTGGTGGTGATGGTGGTGGTGATAATGATAGATGATGGCCATGATTAGAGCAGTGTAGGTAGTGATGATGGTGACAGTGACAGTGTCAATGATGATAATTATACTGATGATGATGGTGGTAGTGGTGACAGTGGTGATGATAATGATAAACACATGATGGTGATTGTGATGATGATGATGGTGCTGATACAATAATGATGGTGATGACTGGTGTTGGTGGTGATGGTCATGGTGACACATTGATGACAGTGATGATGATAGTGATGATGGTGACATGGTGGTAATAATGGTGATGATGATGATCATGGTGGCATTGGTGATAGCATTCTTGGTGATGGTGGTGGTGGTGATAAATAATGGGGGTGGTGGTGACAAAGGGTAATTTTAAGGGCAGTGATGATGTTGATGGTGATAGCGACGATGATGGCATTGGTGGTGATGATGTTGGTGGTGATGGTGTTGTTGATGTTGATGGCACTTGTGATGGTGGTGGTGATAATGGTGATGACAATAATGATAAGGCCAGTGATGATAATAGCATTAGTGATGATGGTGGTGGTGGTGATAATGATGATAATGATAGGAGCAGTGATGATGATGTTGATGGTGATAGGATGATGGCATTGGTTATGATGATGTTGATGGTGGTGGTCATTGTAGAGATGATGGCATTATGAAGACAATATGGTGGGTATAAGGGTGGTAATGATGATGTTGATGGTGATAGTGATGATGATGGCATTTTTGATGATGTTGGTGATGGTGCTGGTGGTGATAATGGTGATGATAAGTAGTGATGATAATGGTGATGATGGCACTAGTGATGATGGTAGCGGTGGCGGTGATAATGGTGACGATGATGATAAGGGTGTTGGTGACAGTCATGTTGATCATGATAGTGATGATGATGGTAGCGGTGGTGGTGATAATGGTGACGATGATGATAAGGGTGTTGGTGACAATCATGTTGATCATGATAGTGATGATGATGGTAGCAGTGGCGGTGATGATAAGGCTGGTGGTGATGCTGATGCTGATAGTGATGATGGTGATGAGGATGGTGGTGAAGACCATGTCGATGATGATGACTCACTGTGTGCTTCTCATGTCTGAAGGCACCAGGCCGAGCACAGTGCATAGATAATTGTCTCGTTTAATCCACACAGCAAGCTTGGAAATGGCATGTATCATTATCATCTGCATTTTACAGATGAAGAGACTGACTTGGAGAGTTTAGTAGCTTGCCCCAAACACATTCAGCCCATAGGGGCCGAGTGCCCTGTTACTGCCACACCCACCTGACCATCCTCGCTGCTCTGGCTGCTGGCCTGACGGGCATGTGCTTACTTTCCAGGGTATGGTGTCATGGCAGATGGGACGACCACCTATGTGAACGCGTCCGTATGCACTGTGAACTACCAGCCCGTGAACCCACCCATAGTCATCGACCTCCCCACACCCCGGAACTCCTGACTGCTCCCCACTGCCCCAGCCCTGCCCGCCCACGTCAGCTCCATAGGCCTTGCCTGGCCACTGTTCCTTCCATGCTGAGTCGCCTGGACGACCTGTCTGGCTGCAGGGACTGGCCTAGCAGGCAGGTTAGGGTCTTGGAACGACTCTTCAGCCTTCTGTCACCTGGAGTTGGGACCCTGCGCATCCCCATCAGGGGTTCTGTGCTCATTACTTTTTCTGCGTGTACATCCTGTGTGTACCTTGTTAAAGAACCTGCTAAGCTCATGGCCCTGTCATGTTTGGGAAACGACTGAATCTTCATTCTGCTCACTTGGTCGCCCTCCTGGTTTGGGAAGCTGCTGCTCTTGAATGGGTTTTGGAAATTACGCAAAATCTCCCTCTGACCACGGATCTGTGTGGCTGCACGCCCCGGGTTAGAGGTGGTGGGAAGACTTGTGGGCTGCACGCAGGCAGTCCTTGCTCTCCCCCCAAGTGAGAGAGGAGACAGGCCCAAGGCAGAGGCCCTCTGGGGAGCATTTAGGGACATCTCAGGAATTCAGACCGCACCCGGCCAGGCCCACCGCAGTTTGCCTGGCATTGTTTCCCCCTTTTTTTCCTGTAAGCATTTCTGTTGACTTGAACAATGGCCTGAGTGTCCTAGGCGTTCACCCGGAGCCTGGATCATGGGGGCTGGTTCTACGGGATGAGCTGCCAGTGTGCGTGCCCAGGACCAGCGAGAGGGTTCCCAGTCATGGGGGGACGACCCTTGGCCCCACGGGGACCACACTGCTCTGCAGAACTCAGCCTGGAGGGAGGGTCTGCAGGCTTAGGCTGCAACAGCCCTGCCTGCTGTGGTGTGAACCCATATCCAGGCATGCACTGACACACACGCATGCACGCTCCCCTCTTAGTTTAAGGAAGTAGGTCCTCTATTTCTCCTTTCTGCCCCGCAGTGAGGTTCTGTTCTTTGGTGTGGTTTCCCTTGCACCATTAGGATTCTGTCTGGCATATGCCTGCAGCCGAGGAAGCCTAAAAATCCTTGTCCTCAGACCAGCCAGTCCTGTGAATGGGAAGCTGTTTTCACCCCCATCTATCCATCCATCCCTCATTCATCCATCCCTTCATCCCTCCATTTGTTCATCCCTCCATCTGTTCACCCTCCATCCTTTCATCCATCCATCCATCCATCCCTCCCTCCATCCCCATGCATCATCCATCCCCCATCCATCCATCCCCCCATCCATCCATGCCCCATCTATCCTCCTGTGAACGGTAGGGTGGAACAGGAACAAAGCGGGCCCGTCTCCAGCAGCTCCACCTTGGACAGCTCCTTTTTCTTCTTTGAATTAGGACTGGTGGGGTGGGGGGCAGGGCAGAAGTGGGAACACATAGGGCCTAGATTAGGGGCAGGCGATGGGCAAGCGCAGGATCGGATTCTGTCCTTATTTAATATTTTGTTCACCATGGGCTTTTTTCTCATTTATTTTGATTTTTAACGTTGCATTAAAGTAGTAGTATTTGTCCTCATCGGTGACGTTTTTGCACCTCCTTTACCTTGTGCATCTGAGAGGAGGGTGTCCCTCCCTCACCCGGGTCCCAGTGCTGGGAACCAGCCTGCTCTCAGCCATTTGTAGTCTTGTTTCATCCTCAGATGGTCCTTCAAGGTAGGTACTTTGTCCCCATTTTAGAGATGAGCGACTGAGGCCAGAGGGGTGTGGTGACTTGCCTGGGGGCTCACAACACAAAAGGAGCAGAGGCAGGATCTGACCCTTGGTCGCTAGCCTCACGGCCCTCACTTTGCCATGACCCGAAGTTATGTCCCTACAAAGCAATGCATGGTCCAAGGCTCTTCTTATTGTATCTTTATTTTTAAGGGTCCTATTCAAAACCGGTCTGAGCTCTGAGGAGTCCTGAACCCTGGGCGCAGCATCCCGGCATCCTGGGAGATTGGGATTCCTTTTCTGCCCGCACTGAGCCGGGCTCCTTGAGGGGTGGAGCTGCTGTCTCTGGAAGCCTGTCAGCAGCACTCTGTCGGGGTGACTGAGGCTGAGCGCTGTGGGGTGCAGGCTCCGGGAATCCCGTTTGGCTGGAGGGGCTCCTGTAGCCAGGGATGTTTACGAGGTTTCTCTGATGCTTCAGGCATGGGACATGTGTGCGGTGGAGAAAACCAGGCCCTTTCAGTGCCAGCTCCACTCAATTTCTATGTGGACCAAGAACTTCAAACTCAAAAACATTTTTTTCCTAAGGTATCTTCAGAATATGGTGTATTTTTATGTGGAAAAGAAAAGTTATGACGGCAGCTGTTACTTTAAGAGAAAATTCATTAAAAGTCCTCGAGGTCTGAAGATGACGGCGTGATCCTCAATCATTTTGGCATAACTTGATTGTGGCTGTAATTTTTTTTTTGTCAAGCATGTCAGACAATAAAGTCTTTGTAAAAAGAGAAGTCCGCGCAGCGCTTCTTCCTTCTGCATCTCTGGGTGTTGCCCGGGACGCGTGGGGGCAGCATGGTGTCCTCTTGCAGAATGCTGATGCCTGGATGGACTTGGAGACTGAAGCCTCCCGTGTGGCAGCAGTTGGTGTCCCTCTGCCCACTTTAGCTCCCCTCCCTGAGGCAGGGGGATCCCAGAGGTGGTGGTGTGGGCAGTTCTGGGTCCTCTTCTATTCAAACACTGAGCTGCCCAGTCTCCTGGTACCAAACACCTCCAGTTGCCTTAGTGCTGGACTCATCCTGGAATTGGAGTGTTCAGCCCAGCCCCTGTGAAACACAGGGTCCAGGCATTGCCCAGGAGAAACACTGGCAGGTACAACGACCCTAGTTGCAAGGCCCCCAAGCTGCAGAAGTTCTGTCATTTTTATCCATCTGTCCATCCATCCCTCCATATGCCATCTGCCCCTCCTTCTACCATCCCTCCCTCCCCCATCCATCCCTCCTTTCCTCCACCCATCCATCCCCCATTCATCTATCCATCCATCCACCTCCATCCATCCTTCCATCCCTCTGTTCACCCCATCTATCCATCCATCACTCCATCCCTTTATTCATCCCCATCCATCCATCCATCCCTCCACTCACCCCCATTCATCCATCCAACTCCATCCATCCTTCCATCTATTTCCCATCCATCCATCCGTTCATCCCTTCCTTCATCCCTCCATTCATCCCACATCCATCCTTTCCTCTCTCCTTCCCTCCCACTTTCTATTCATCCATCCATCCATCCATCTACCCATCCAGTCTGTAAACACCATTGAGCACCTCCCATGGATCTTGCTTGGGCTAGCGAAGTGGTGGTGGTGGCGATGATAGATTTAGGAGGTAGGATGGCAGTGAGGGATGGATGTGGGCCATGGGGGAGGGACAGCCAAGGATAGCAGTGGATGCTGGCTGGACATGGAGATGGGGCACAAGAGCAGGAAGAACAGGCCTGAGGAAGGACATGGAGTTCTGTTTGGGACTCATGAGCTGGAGGAGACTTTGGGCTAAACAGGGGAGGTGTCCAGTGGGTAAACAGAACAATGTCTCTGGAGCCAGATATGGGTCAGAAGCAAAGACGTGGGGAAGCGGAGACCTCCCAAGGAGGTATGAGGGCAGGGGGCATCCTGGGGCAGACCACAATGTGCCACCCCTCCATAGCCCTCTCCTATTGTCAGACTGGCCCCACCTGCCACCTGCCCCTCCAAGAGCCCCATCCACCAGGGTATCACAGGGGTGTACAATAGCCATCCCAGGCCCTGGCTCCCCATCCACAGGCCCTGAGGAGCTGCTTAGTTTGAGGGGCCCTGGCTGCTGCTCTTGGCCAGCATGCACCCCAGCAGGGCTCCTGGGCAGGGGCAGGGAAGGGACTCTGTGGCTTCTGCCCCTGGTGGTGCTGTCATAGGGCAAGTGCTGCCCGAATACATCAGGGTCCCATCTGCTCAGCTGAGACACAGCATCGTGGGATGGGTAGACAGCTCTGAGTTGTCCAGGGCACTGTACCAATGGTGAGGGCATCCTGCGGCAGAGGTGCCTGGTGTTGGAGCCTCAGCTCTTGGGAAAGCAGCACTCTGGGCTCACCCACGCTTGCAGGGATTGTTCCCCAGGCAGCCCGGAGGCACAGGAGACAGAACAGCATGGGGCTCAAGACCACTTTCCATTGCCAGTGGGGGTCTAGTGGCAAGTGCAGGGGGCCACCTCCCTCCCTGCCTCCTCTTGACAGTGTGTCAACTCCCAGAGCTCCAGCCCCCAAACCAACAGCTCCATCTTGCAATTTACTTCCATGGAGCTAATCCTCGAACCTCCATAAGGACCAAATTCCTAGGAATTTTTCTTCTAGGAGACCCACTCCCCAGAATGAACCCTGAATGAACTGGCAGAGGTATAAGCCCTGTGGACAGGGGCTCCACTCAACTAGCCCTGATGCCACCCACAACTCCCACCTGGGCCCAAACCTGCCTGGCCAGCTTGGGGACCTTTATCACATACACCTGAGAGGCTCTGGCCCACTTCCCATAGAAGGCACAACTGAAAAGGTCTCCACAATGTGGGGATTACGGCTGACATTTAGAAACTCAGTGCACTCTTGAAGGTTCATCTGACCCCAGAAGAAAAGCTGAACCCCTCAGGCCTTCTCTGTGGAGCCCAGTGAGTGGCAGACAGGTCAGTCTTGGGGGCCCTGGGGAAAAGCAAACCCAGCCTACAGGGGTAGTCAGAGAAAGCTTCTGGAGGAAGAAGGGTGGTTGGGCCGAGAGGAGCAGGAAGTCATGGAGGGGTTGGGAGGCTCACCTCCATGTGCCAGGCAGTCAGCACACCTGTCTCATTTAAGATCCACAGCAACCCTGCAGGGCTGTCCTCCCTTCACAGAAGAGGAAGCTGAGGCTGGCAGGGGATGTGACTCGCCCACCCCTCAGTGAGTGTTCCATTTGTAGCTTGTCCTTCGCAGACCCGCCTGAATGTGCTTTCATGAATGACAGAGGGGCAAGCCCAAGGGCAAGTTGAGTTATGCAAGTGTTATTTTATTTATTTTTGAGACGGAGTTTCGCTCTTGTTGCCCGGGCTGGAGTGTAGTGGCACAATGTTGGCTCACTGCAACCTCTGCCCCCGGGGCTCAAGCGATTCTCTAGCCTCAGCCTCCCTAGTAGCTGGGATTATAGGCATGCACCACCATGCCCAGCTGATTTTCGTATTTTTAGTAGAGACAGAGTTTTGCCACATTGGCCAGGCTGGTCTGGAACTCCTGACCTTAAGTGATCCACCCACCTCGGTCTCCCAATCAGGATTACAGGTGTGAGTCACTGCGCCCAGCCTATTTTTTTTTTTTTCATTAAAAAAAAAAGTTTGTATTTTGCTGGGCATGGTGACTCATGCCTATAATCCCAATGCTTTGGGAGGCTGAGTTAGGAGGGTCACTTGAGCTCAGGGTTTTGAGACCAACCTGGACAACATTTGTCTCCTGCCTCTACAAAAAAATAAACAAAATTAGCCCAGTATGATGTCATGTGCCTGTAGTCCTAGGTGCTTGAGAGGCTGAGGTGGGAGGATTGCTTGAGCCTAGGAGGTTGAAGCTGCCATGAGCCAGGATCATGCCACTGCACTACAGCCTGGGTGACAGAGGGAGACCCTGTCTCAACAAACAAACACACAAACACAACGCTTTTTATTTTGAAATACTTTTAATTTTGAGGAAGCGCCGTAAGGCTAATACAGGGAGCTCCTCCATAGCCCTCAGCCAGTTTCCCCTGCATAGCCGTGATTCATTTATCCAAACTAAGACATCGACACTAGTACCGCAGTGTTAAATACGGTCTTTATCTGGATGTCAGCGGTTTTTGCCGAGTGTCTTTTCTCTGTTTCATAATGCAATCCATGATCCCGAGCTGTGTTTAGTCACCACGGCTCCCAACTCTCTTCCAATCGGAGACAGTTAGACCATTTCTCTGTGTTTCCTTGCTTTTTCTGACGGTGGAAGTTCTGAGGTGTGCTGATTGAGTGTTCTGTGGAATGTCCTTCTGTTTGTTTGCCTGCCATTTTCTCATGAGTAGTCTGGTGTTATGTGTTTTTGAAAAAAAAAAAAAAAAAAAAAACCCATGGAGGGGAAGACGCCATCACAAGGCATCCATCTAGGGTAACTCAAGAGGAGCAGGATGCACCCCTGGCGATGTTCATCTTCATCCCCCGGTTAAACTGATGGCTGCGGGTTTCCCCGCTGTAAAGATGCTGCTGTTTTCTTTTTCCACATTCAGTCTGTTAGGAGCGAGTCACTAGGTCCAGCTCCACTCAAGGAGGGAGGAGTTAAGCATCTCCTCCTGGAGAGAGGAACATCAAAGCATTTGTGGGCCTTTGTGAAAAGCAGCACGGTAATTAATCAATATTTTGGGGAGGTATTGTGAGGCCCCGCCAATATCCCATTTCTCCTTAAAGTTTTGCCCACTCATTTTAGCAGCCATCAGCAGATCTTGGCTTCAGCAGTTGCCACTGTGGTGCTCACATGCTGATATTCCATTTCCTAATTCCTCCTGCAGTCCTCTTTTGGAATTCTTCAGTAAGGAATATTTGTCCCCTCTCTGCTGTTGGTGCATTAATCTCACTCTGAACTCATTATTTGATTCTTTGGGTTAGAAACTGATTGTATCATTATCTGTTTTATTGCTTCAGTAGTTGCAGCTTTGTCCTCTGGAAGCTCTGAGGGTTTATTAATTTTACTTCCTTACTTTCAGGCAATAGAAGATGTTCTAGACTCCTCCTACCTTGCCCTGGCCTTATAATCAGTCATTTGTCCAGAAAGCCCTAGCTCCTTTTACTCAGAAACTAAGATCTGGGGCCAGGCGCGGTGGCTCACCCCTGTAATCCCAGCACTTTGGGAGGCCGAGGTGGGTGGATCACTTGAGGTCAGGAGTTTGAGACCAGCCGGACCAACATGGTGAAACCCCGTTTCTACTAAAAATACAAAAATGAGGTGGGCATGGTGGCAGGCACCTGTAGTTTCAGCTAGTCAGGAGGCTGAGGCAGGAGAATCACTGGAACCTGGGAGGCAAAAGTTGCAGTGAGCCAAGATGATGCCACTGCATTCCAGCCTGGGTGACAGAGTGAGAGTCTCAAAAAAAAAAATAAAAGACCTGGGCGGTAGGTATGCTGGTTGCACTTTTGGCATCACTGCTCCTAGGCCGCCTTAGAGACAGAGCAAGGAAGTATATTTAGTATACTAAATATACTTATATATTTATGCACACGTTTATCTGTCTCTACCTCTATCCACCCACCCACTCATCTGTCAATCATCTACCCCATCTCTCCATCCCTGTCTCTCTCTATCAGTAAACATTAATTCATACTGATAGTCCCACCTCCCATTCTAACTCAACAACGCAATCTCAGCAACGCAACTGATTCTTGCTTTTCCACCTTGTTCATTTACAACCATTTTTTTTTTTTTTTTTGAGACAGGGTCTCACTCTGTCACCCAGGCC